AGGGTATAAGGGCCTCTATTATTATAATAGAGGCCTTAGGCTCTAAGGCCTATAAGGGCTCCTAGCTAGCTTTCCTTCTTTCTAAGTTATAATTAGGTCCTATAAAGGCTACTAGGCTTTTAAGGAGGCGGAAGAGCTATATATATAGCCTAATATAGCTTAAGGCCCTTAGGTTAAAGCCTAAGTCGGTAAGGTTATCCTATATAGCTAGGTCGTAAGCCTACCTTATAGGGTAACTAGGTAAGAAGTATAGGGTCTAGAGGGCGTAAGAGAAGTATACCCTTTTAAATCGTACCTTTAGTAGCGGTAGGGCCGCTTTAGCTTTTAAAGCCCTAATAAGGGATCCTTTAAAGACCCTTAAAACCTTTAAAAGAGCTTAGTTTTATAGCCTTTAAAAAGGCTTTATAAGGCCCTTAGGGGTCTTAGGCCCCCTATACTAAAGTTAGGCCTTATAGTCTACTATAAAGGTTATATAGGCCTAGTAAAGCTATTTAGAGGCTCTAAATAATAAGCCTTTTTATATAAAGGTTAAGCGGGATAGTCCTTTAAAGGTAGCTTATATAGATACTACCTTCTTCTTAATATATTATTTAAATAGGAGCTTAGAATTAAAGAAGACCCCTAGCTACTATACTAAGGGCTTTACCTCGAAAAATAAGCCTCCTACTATTATACCCTCTAAAATAGGCTGCCGTTACCTATTAAAGTAAATAAGTTCTATCTTTAAAGGGTTAAAGTAAACCCCTTAGTCTTTAGCTTATTTAAATAGGTTAATAGCTATTACTTTTAGCTACTAAACGTTCTTCTTAGCTAAGGTCGATATTATAAAGATACTAAAGCTATCTATATAAGATAGCTAGTATCCCTTAGCCGCTAGTATCCCCCTTATATATAAGAGGAATAAAATAGGGCTAATAAGGGACCCTTAAGGCACCCTTATTACTAGGTCTATAAGGGGCTAGACTTACCCCTTAACGGCTAGCTAGATCTTCCTTTTAGTAAGGAAGTAGTTTACCTAGCTTATAAGGGCCTTAGGGAGGTTTAATTCCCTTAGGACCCTTATAAGCTATTCCTTTAATATAAAATCGAAGGCGCCCTTTATATCTAATAAGAGGGTACTAGTAATAGCCTTCTTATTAAACTCCCGCTTCTTTTAAATATAGTATAAAAGGAGGAGGGCCGTGTTTATAGCTAACCGCTATTTTCGTCCCCTTAGCTATATAGGGTTTAGAAGCCCGGTCGTATTAGCTAAATAGCTTAGCTAGGTAGCGTATAGCTTTTTAAGGACCTTTCCTAAGTAGTTAAGTAGACTTATAACCTTATAGGCCTTAGGGATAGTATAGTCTAGCTTATTTTACTTAAGAAGTATAATTCCTATAGCTTCCTTCTACGCCTTAAGGTAGTATCCTTAGTTAAATAAAGCTTTATAGGCCCTATTAAAAACTATAAGGATAGCCTTATATACGTATTAGATAGGAAGGAAGCTAAGGGAGTCTAGGCTAAGGGCTTTCTTATTAAAAGAGCTAAAAATAGCCCTCCTAATCTTAGGGTCCTTTAGCTCTAGCTAGTCCTACTTAACCGTGCCCTTACTACTTATCTAGCCTAGGGGCTCTTCTTTTTCTAGGCTCTAGGGGGGGCTAAAAGGAGGGCTAGGGCTAGGGTCCAGGGTCGGAAAAATGGTTATTAGGAAGGCCTTATATTTTCTATAAAGGTATTAGCTTTTACCTCTATCCCTTCTTTCGTATATAAGATACTAGGAAGGGTAGGGTTAGCTCTAGCCTTAGTATAGGAAAAAGCGATAAAGATATCCTTTCTTATTACTTTTATTAATAAGCTCTCTTAGTATTACTTTTTAATAGCCTTAATAATATACTTAAAGCTATTTCGGGCCTCTATAAAGCTCTTTTAGCTCTCCTTATCCTAGGCTAGCCTATAAGCCCGTTAGGCTAGGCTTAGGGCTTTCTAAAGGTAGGTTAGCTTATTAGTTTACTAGGGCTAAGATCCCTTATAAGGCCTCTTTTTTAGTATCGCTATATTTAAGGCCTTTATAAGGGTTCTTATTAAAAGGGAAGCTATCTATTTTAAGTCGTCTCTTTTTATAGCCCTCTTTATAGCTATAAGGAGGTCCTATTCCTTCTTAGCTAGGTATTTTAAGAATACCTTTTAGTTTACTTTCCTATAATTATAAGTAGTAGGCCTAGCTAGTAGTAGCCTATTAGGGCTCCTTAAGCTAGCTTTAAAGGCTATAGGCTTATAATCTAAGCTTATAGCCTCTAGGAAGCGGAAGTTAGCTTAGGTTAGCTATTTAAAAGGGCTATAGAAAGCAAGGTCTATAACTAAGGCCCCTTTTAAGCCTTTCCTTTAATAGGTACCTTCTATAGCTACCTTAAGGTCCGTTAATAAAGAAGCCTTATAGCGGTCGAGCTAGCTAATAAGGGCTTCTACCTTATAGGCCTTAAAGGGTTCTATAAAAGGGTTCTAATAAGGGTAGTATAGGTTAAAGTCCCCTATTAATAGGAAGGGCTACTATAGGAGCTAGGCTATTAGTAGCAGCCTTTTTATTATAAGGGGCCCTTACTAGCCTTAGCTAGCTAGGGCCCCTTTAACCTCTTTTTTATTATATAGGTTAATAAGGGTAAACGGCTCGGCGCCTTCTACCCTTATAGCCTATATATTAGGATCGTAAAAAAGGCCGAAGCTAGGGCTAGCTTTTATTTAAGCTTCCTTCCTCTTATAAGCTATAACCCTAGGCCTCTTAGCGAGCTTAGGAAAGTTAGTAAAACGGATAAGGGTTATAACGTTATAGGCCGGATACTATATAGGGATATAGCTATTATCGATCTTATAGAGGTAAGGCTCTTATAATAAGATAAGGTCCGCTTTTATTTCTAGGGCCTACTCTAAGATCGATAGGTTAGCTATTTCCTACCTATTAGTATTATACTATATAATACTAATAGGGTCGTAGTTAGGCCTAGGGGGCCTAAGGGGCTTTAGGGGCCCTATAAGCGTAAAGGGGCTAAGGCTATTAAGTATTAGTTATTCCCTTATAGACTCCGTATTATACTTTATTAGTCGTAAAGTACTCTCCCTTATAGTTATAGTATTAAACCTTAAAGTAAGAGTAGCTTTAGCTAACCTTATAGCTAAGGTAGTTATAGTCCCTAGTTAAGTGCTTTTCTAAGTAAAAGGTATACTTAATAGGCTGCTAGTAGGTCTAAGGGTTATAGCTAAAGGAAAGGTACCTATAGTACTATATATATATAGTATATTCCTTATAGGCCTTAACTTAAATCTATAGACCTACTATATAAAGGCCTTTTTTCCGGTATTCGGCCTTTATAGCCTTTAAAGGGACTATAAAGACAACCGATCCTACCTTCTACGTTAGGCCTAAGGTGCCTAGCTACCTAGGCTGCCCTAGGATATCGATCCCGCTAAAGGTTTTAGCTTCTATAGTAAAGATATCGAGGATAGGGGTCTCTAGGAGGTTAGGGACGCTCCGGGCTACTAGCTTAGTCTAGCTAGTAGGAAGGTCGGCCGATTCGATAGGTAGCTCCTTAACGTATAGGGACTACTTCTCCCGCTACTCTAAAAGCTTCTTTACTATATATAGGGCCTTTATTATTATAACTATATTACCTCTATTTAAGGTTAATATAGCTAATATAGCTAGTTCCCTTATAGCCTTATTAAGCTTATTATAAAGCGTAATAGGGTTAATAGTTAGTATTAGTAATTCCTTCTTTAACTTTAGGATAAGTTAAAAGTCCTCTTTTACGTTCCTCTTAGCTAGGGCCTTAGCTAGGGTCTTAGCTAGGGCTTTCGCTAGAGCCTTAGCTAGGGCCTTAGCTAGGGCCTTAGGTGCCTTCTTTACGGCAACCTTAGCCTACGAGCTCGCTTTAAGGTTTCCTTAGGTAGCCCTAGGCTACTAGGCGGCCTTAGGCTAGTATAAGGGCTATTATAGGGGCTATTAGCGGTCCGGGGTCCTTATAGCTACCTTCTCGAGCCCTTTTATAAGGGTCTTATAGAAGGGTTCGATTTTTTAGGCTTCCTTAAGGGCCTAGAGGGCCTACTAAAGGAAGCCCTAGGCCCGGTCCCTAGGGAAAGGGTGCTAGGGCCGGGGCTAGGTCTACTATAAGCGTTAGAACGTAGGTCGGATAGGTATATAGCTAATAGGGCTACTAAGCGTAGCTCTCTTTCGCCCCTTTACTTACTTTAAGGGCTAGTTAGGCTAGAAGTAGCTAGCCTAAGGTAGGGCTAGGCTAGGCCTAAAGAGGCTAGTCTTTAGTATAGGCTAGGTATTATCTTCTATCTTAATATCCTCTAGGTCTTAGTCTTAGGTCCTAGGCCTTTCTTCTAGGGTCCTTAGAAGGCGTTAGCCTTCTAGAGCTTCTTCTAAGCGGGCCCTAGCCTCTAAGGTACTTATTTTAACCCTTAAGTTAAGGGGGGGGGGGTTAAAGTTAAAGGGGCCCTCCTTATATCTAGGCCGGGGTCCTAAGTCGGGTCCGGGCTTAGTCCCGTTAGCGGGGGGGGGCATATACCCTTAGTCAGCGAGGGCGGGGAAGAGTTTTCCACCCGTATAGGGGAGAACCTTACCCAATTCGCAATCTTTGGCAGCATACATATCGCGCACCCGCTAGTAGCTGCACGAGGCTGCACTTAGGGGGGCGTAATACGCTATTCGCGACGGTTCTAGCCGTATGCTTTTTCCGTGTTTTAGGCTTAGTTTCGAAAAGTTAGCCGAGAAGACGTGGTGGTGTTTTTATAAAAAAAAATCCTTTATATACCTATAGAAAAAGTACCTATAGAATTTTAGAGACACGGGTACTAGTATTATAGTGCGCTGCTAGCTTATTAATAGGTCTCCGGGTAAAAGTATGCCCGGAGGGACTGCAGTGGTGCTCTCGGGACGCGCCCCGCCGGAGCCCAACACCTATTCTTTCCTCTTATTTCCTCTCACTTGCCAGCTGTGAATTACTGTATCAAGCGCAGTCATCATGGCATCCATCAACCTGCCGCCGTTGTTTGACGTGGTTACAACGACTGCCGACGACCTTCGGAAGCTCTTGGACAAGGGGAGCATCACCAGCGTACGGATTGTGGAATCGTACCTCTCGCACATCGAGGCACACAACACCAGCGGTGCCAAGTGCAGGGCCATCATCTCTACAGGCCCGAGATTTCAGCTCATCTCCCAGGCCGCCATGCGCGACGAGGAACGGCAGCGGGGAAAGCTGCGGGGACCTCTACACGGGATACCAATCCTCCTCAAGGTCACCATTCACCTTGGCTTGTGCAGCGCTGGCAGCCTAACTCCGGGTTTTACTGCAGGACAACATGGCCACAGATGCATCCCTTGGAATGCCCACGACTGCAGGCTCGTACGCACTCTGGGATTCGTGTCCGCCAGGCAATAGTGCGGTTGCCGACAAAGTGGGAATTGGCCGTCCATCGAGGGAATTTCACTGATCACATTCCCAGCTGATCGACTGTGGCCTCATTATTCTGGGCAAATCCAATATGACGGTATGTCTCGGGACAGCCCTGGCCCTATTTCCAAGCTGCGTAGCAGATGTCCAACACTCATTTGTCCCACAGGAGTTTGTCGGCCTAAAGTAGGCCACCATGTCCAACGACAGTCGCAGACCATATCTGACATGGACAGAGGCGCGAGTGGGTGGTCTGCTGTTGGGGGCATGTGTGAGCCAGCATACATTCCTACTGGGTACAAGATTGGGGACAAGCCCAGGGGGGAGACGGTGAGTGAAATTGCCATGCATCTTTCTCTTGACGGACTGGAGGCCGATCCTCGGCCTAGACTCCCGCAGGCTCATCCACGGGATCCGCCGTTGGCGTTGCGTGCGGCTTTGCCCCCATTGCACTGGGAACGGAAACTTCGGGGTCTATAGTGTCACCATCGGCCGTGGCCGCGTTGTATGCGCTGAAGCTTACTCCGGGTTCTGTTCCCTTGACGGGGATAATGGAGGTGACTGCCTGCTTCGACACAGTCGGTGGGATGGGCAAGACGCCTCTGGACGTTGCCCTCACAAGCGACGCTCTTTTAGGTCCCGCAGAAGGTGCGAGCTTGGCCTCTGTCGCATCTTCAGTCGACTTCGGAGATGTCTCGGTTGGCTTCGTCGACATCGAAAAATGGAGACTTCCGGCCGGGACTCAAGAGGACGACCCCGAATACTTGCAGCAAACTGTAAGTTGAGGACTTGGCAACCTTCTAAAGGCGACGCACTTACACCCCCACGGGCCAGAGAATACCAGGCAGCGAAAGGGGAGCTGCGCAAGAACGGGGTCAAAGTGGTTGACGTATACATCACTCCTCCCGAAGTCTATATGATTGGGGACACCAACGTAGATGATGTGATGGACAGCATCATAAGTACATCTTTGGCAACTACGTCTATGAGAAGCGAATCTGGAGGCTAACTGTGTGCTGCGGCCAGGGCAACAAGCAAAAGCCGGCTTTGAACGATTCTTGAAGGCGTTGAAGTTCTCCAAGGTTCGTTCCTTGGATGAGGTCATCGAATTCAACCAAGCCCATGCAGATGTCGAATTTAATAAGGGTACGCCGCGCTAGACAGCTGACTGCTTCCTTTGGGTTCAGTCTAACCTATCCCCATGCAGACTATTGCCCCAACCAGGATGGCCTTGTTGGAATCTTGAAAGCGTCACGGCCGGATGAAGACGCCGCTGAGTCTCTCGAACATTGCAAGCGCTGGGCGGCCACGGAAGGCATCGACAAAGCCATATCCGAACACGGAGTGGATGTGGTGGTGTGCTGCTCTGACAGCTACTTTGCCGGGGTTTCAGTGGCATCTCGTGGGTACCCGTAGAGAGCTCGTTCACTTTTGCATCCCCTGGTAGACTAACCGCCTACATTTTAAATGTCTCAGGCTATCCAATGGCTGCAGTGCCCTTGGGGTATATCAGGAGCAGCGGAAGGCCGTATGGCTTGCAAGCTATCGCGCCCGCTCATCAAGAAGCGAAATTGGTTGCCTTTATGGCGGTGTGGGAGCGCATCTTTCCGACACGACGTGTCCCGGACTTGGACGCTTGTGCGAGGGCGCGAGCCGATTGGTAGGTAGACATGGTATTATATGTCGCTACGCGCTTATACTTGCAAGGACAGTATCGAGTCCTTGTACGCGACCAATGCGGATTAAACATGATTTAATATTTATTTATCTGCCCCGTCTAGCTGCCATCTTTCCTGGTGCGCAAACCAACCAACCTCTTCTTCCTCCATGTCGCGTCGATGTCAGACAAGCTCGACATACCCTCCCGGTCTGCCGCGGGCTAAGCCGACGACGTCCTGGAAGCCCCCGTAGGCAAGCCCAAACAACCCAAACCTGGCCGTGCGGGCGACAGTCGACGTCGAAAACCTGTCTAGTCGTGGTTGGCGCTTGTTACTAAATCTGTCACCACTCCGATGTAAACACCCGAGGCTGGCCATTCTTGCCTTGACCAGCACGAGGCGGCTCGGCGTCGAGAGGGAGAGCCGGGTAGGTCCCATTAGACAACGTTTAAAAGTCAAGGCGGCTCTCTCTATTTATATTATGCAGTGGTAGCTAGCAGCCTAGAGCTTTCTATTTATACTTTAGAGGCCGTCTAGAATGGTCTGTCTGACCTGGAAGAAAAAAGGATGCTAGCAGCTTGCATGACTAGGGGTTCTCGGGCCTCCCCCCCAATGCGCCTTTGCGGTAATGCAGGTACAGTAGGTCGTAACTGTCGCGCCGGTTGAACCGGCCAGGACAGCATGGTGTACGGGCTGTGATGTCTCCGGTGCCGCTTGGTGGTTGCCGCTGCCGGGGAGTAGTGTTAAATACCTATCCCCTTGTCAGGAAAAGTGAGCGGAACCATGAAAGCTTCGGTGGTCTCTTAGGAGTTCTGAGTAGCCTTCAGGTGGAGGGGCCCGAGACTGCGCCTGTGACGCCAGGTCAAGAACCCCCGGGTTGCCACCGGGTTAGAGCTGAGTCGCCCGGTGCGTGTCCATTCCTCCCTTCTTGACTCCGATACTGCGAAGAGCTTCGGCCATCCCAGACCCAAGTGGCTTCTTTAATGACCGGCGTATATCTTCGTGTGGGATGAAACTACCAAAAGTCAGACAAGGCTGGGGGCGAGAGGTTTGGTCGGAGAAGTGTTGGCCAACATTCACCTCGTGGTCCTTTTGCTCTGATCTGGTTCAGTCGCTTGTAGCACTTGGGCTGAAGGAAGACGTCAAAGCACTGCATGACCGTCGCGCCAAGACATCCCGAATCCCTCTACGGTGACCTCGGCGCCTTCGCGGAAGCGTGGAGATTAGAGAATTCTGGCTAGATCGTCGCTGTCTCTGTTGCAGTTGCTGCTGATTCTGTAGGCATAGATAGCCAGAGGTCAAGGTCGCCCGCCATAGTCGTACAATCCGAGTCAAGCTCGTCCTGTCCAAGACGAACAAACCAGAATACGGCGGCCTATAGGTGAGTTAGAGTTAAAACGTATTTTTGGATTTTTTTCGTCTATATATACGCCTAAGTCTATAGCTATATTATACTTCGTTATATTAATTATAGATATATATTTAAACGGATAAATATATAAGCGTATAGTTATATAGCAACGTATATAAAAAAGAAAAATAATAATTACCTTATATATATTCCTTATTAGCTATATAAAAGCGCGTATATAAAAGAATTAAAGAATTGCCTTATATATATTTATAGCTAAATACGTACTAATTAATAGGAGAAATAAAGCTACCTTATATATATTCCCTATTACTTCTCTTTATTTTATCTCTTTACTATTACTATTATTCTCGTAAAGAGAGATATAAAAAGTATATAAAAATATATAAAGGTAAAATTAAAAGTAAGGGGTTAGATAGATAAGGCAGAGATATTTAATTCTTATAGGGGCAGTAATTATAGTAAGGGAATAATTATTATATTGCCTTAATTCTCCTTCTTTCCTCTATCTAACGCCTATCTTTATACCTATCTAGTATCTTAATTAATAAAGAAGATCCTACTTAAAGAAGCTACTAATATCCTTTTAACTACCGAGCTTTTTACCGGTTTTTCCCCTCCTTTATAGCTATTGCCGGTATATCTATCTTATCTCTCGCTACCTCTATAAGAAGCTATCGATACTTCTATGTCCCCTCTTACCCCTACCCTCCTTTTTATACCTCTTTTTAGCTCCTTCTTTAAAACTAGTCTTTTTAGCTTCCTAGGTCCCTCGTATAAAGGGATATCTCTAAGAACTACGAAATTAGGCTACGCTTCGCGATACACCCCCTTAGCTATAGCCTGCCCTTATAGAAAGGGTAAAGCTAAATACTTAGGCCGGTAAGCGTATAGAGGAGGTCTTAGTCTATACTTATCCCTTACTTAAGAAATCTAGGTTTTAGCCCTAGGCTCTTTTAGACCTACTTTAGGAAAAGGGGCCTAAGGAGGATATTAAGTCTTATAAGAAAGGGGGGCTTTTCTAAGGATAAATCCCTAAAAAGGAGCCTTTAAGAAGAATAAGTCTTAATTAAGCTAAGGGCCCTCTTTTAAGATAAGTCCTTATTCCTCTCTTTAGCTATAGACGTTACCTTCTCGTATATACTATTAGCTCCTCTTATAGACTCTTAAGGCGGGCCTCTAAGGATAGCTTCTTATAGACGTTTTCTAGCCTAATTTACTATAAGAAGATAGCTAGCTTCTACTTTAGTAGGGGCTTTATAATACCGTTTACTTTTATCGATACTATTAGAACCTAATAGATGGAAATAAGTCCCTTTTAGACCTCTTAGCGTAACTAATACTAATAGATATCGATATACTATAACTAGGTTAATAGATTACTATTTTCTATAAGAATTTATATAGTCTATATATTATTATATTCTATAGATAATAGGGTTAGAATTTATAGTTATAAAGAAATTAATAGCTAGCTAAGGAGAATCGTTTCTTTTAACGCTTTTAAAGGAGCTAGTAGCTTTACCTCTATACTAAAAGTTATAACGGTAGCTTGCTTTAAAGCTCTCTAAGTAATAGTTCCTTTAAAAAGGGATATAATATACCCCTATAAGCTCTTTCTATTTAATAAATTATCTATAAAGGACGAATCGCTTAAATAAAGAAAGATTTCGGTAGCTAGTTTCCTTCCTTACCCTCCTAGGCGTAGACTATATAATCTTATTAAATAGAGATAAAGGATAGCTCTATCTACTACTTCTTAATACTTAAGGCTAGGATTCTAGTTATGCCTAGCTAGCTAAGAGACCGTAAAAGAGATATCCGGTTTAATAAAAATAGCTAAATAAAATAAGGAGCCTACCTTTTATTAATATTAGTGTTTCTTTTACTCCCTAGCTTAAAAGAAAGGATTAAGTAAAAGGTCTTTATCTAATATACGTATAGAGGGAAGCTTCTCATTAAAGGAATTAGGGAGGAATTTATAAGCGACCTTATCTATATAGGCGTCCTAGGTAAGCTAGATAGTCTATTAGGACCTATTTTAAAGGATTTATATCCCTAGGAACTACTTTAGCTCTACTAGCTTAGTTATCTTATACCTTTATTATAGGCCTTATATAGCCTCCCTAGCCGTTACTTCTTCCTCTTTTAGGTAGGCCTAGATAGTATTATCTATATAAAAGAAGACTATAATTTTACCCTTTTATATTATATACGGTTCCTAAGGGACTTTCTTTAAGCCTAGGGCTTTAAGGGAACCTATTAAATGCTATTATTAAAGAAGGGGTAATCTTTATAGTCTGTATAGAGTTTCCCTAAGCTATAGAACCCTTCCTAGCTATTAAAAGCCTAGTAAAAGGCGTATATAGATAACTTCTTCTTCCTTAAGTAAGTAGTTAATAAAGGCGTTTACTATATCTATTTAATTAAGCTCGAGGTTAAATACTACTACTATAGCTATAAGGGTCTAGAAAGATATCCTTGCTAAGGTAGTTACTTTAGTAGGAAGATCCCCTTTTTCCTACTAGTTCCTATAAACGACTAGCTAGGCTTTATACTTTTAAAGGAAGCCTTATTTATTAGTCTTATAGATAAAGACCTACTTATAGCTAAGGACCTATTTTCCTCTTACTTTTTCCTTTAAGACCTCTTTAAAAGACCCTATCTCCTTATATAAAGCTAGGTAGTCTTTCTAGGCCTAGAAAAACTAGTCTTTAAAGGGGTGTTTTTCTAGCTGCTTTTAGTTTACTAGTAGGTCTAGGAGGTCTCTTTTATATACCTTCCTTATTAATAGCTATAGCTTAAAGAGCCGGCCTACTATAAATACTCTATAGGAACCGTCTTTTATAGGTAATAGATAGAGGTCGGAAAAACGATCGAAATAGGGGTAAGGTTAGTCTTTTTTAATAACTATATTAGGTCCTATACCTTCCTTTAGTTCTTAAAGTAAGGATAAAAAGGCAGCTAGATAATCCTTTTAGAGAGGTGCCTTTCCTACCCCCTTAGGGGTCGAGATAGGAAGACTAATAGAAAAAGCTACTTTTAGATCTTCTTATTATATAAGAGGAGGCGTAGGAAGGTAGGCGTATTCTAGCTCTACTACTTTCCTATAGTCTCCTTCTTTATCTAGATTATTTAATCTAATAGCTTCCTTTTTTTCTTCTTCGAAGTTAGCTTTATCCTTAACTACTTTAATATTAGTTTCTTCTTCCGTTTCCTTATCTAAGACCTTTTCTTAAGACTATTAGGAAGGGGGAATTTAGATCTTTTAAATTAGCTAACGTTATAAGAGTAAGAAGGGCTATTAATCCCTCTTTTCGTCGAAGAAGCTAGATTCGTCGAAAATTATATCCCTAGTCGAAATAACCTTTTATAGAAGAGGAATCTAGATCCGGAAGATATTTATAGAATTATAGCTAACGAGGTAACTAATAAAGGCTCTAGGATTAAGCTTTCTTTTCTTCTTCCTTTTTAGCTATATATTAATAGTTATAGTATATACCTTATAGCTATAGGTATAAAGGTAGGCTAGCGAGGCCCTCTTCTTTATAAAGAGCTTAAGGGGGGATTTCTAGTCTATTCCTTAGGCCTTAAAAAGGGTCTCTAGGTCCTTATAGTCCCTTAGTCCTATAGG